GGTAGAAATCGATCCTTGAGGCATATAGCGATGTAGACTTTGCTGGAGACACCACCACAAATAGGTCGACCTCTGGCTCATTAATCCGACTCGCATCGGGGCCGATAAGCTGGCGCTCAAGATTACAGCGAGAGGTCGTTCTATCGAAGACAGAGGCAGAGTATCTTGCCGTAACAGAATCCTGCCGCCAGCTGCAGTGGGTCAAATCCTTCCTCGCAGAGCTAGATATATCTGAGCTCATTGAAGGGTCACATCACACGAACCTATATGTAGACAACCTGTCAGCCATATCCCTAATCAAGAATCACGACAATCACAAACTCTCTAAGCATATAGCGCTTCGCAATAACTACTGTCGACAGCTATACCAGCAGGAATCTATAGCAGTCATATATGTCAACTCCAAACAGCAACTAGCCGATAGTCTCACCAAGGCTTACTCTATAGTGTCGATCCTATAGATCACAGATCCTACGGTCCCATCAAGAAGACTCCTTTCGGAGCCAGGGGGAGTGTTGTGAATACCACGGATCAGCTTCGATCGAGTCTCATTGAGCTTCCACTATCGCGGCACTTGGACACTCGGGCGCAGGAAGCTAGATGATATTTGGGCACTGATAGCACAGCTGAGGACCTAATCACTCTGGCAACATCCCTACGTCCTAGCGTTGCCTGGTAGACCAATGCGTCTAGAATAAGGTACACATTACTCTGATGGCTATCGAGAGGCAACAGCATATAATGTGACGATGGTGTGTAGCTCTGTAATCCCGGAAGGTCCACACTAGCAACCAGTATCAATGGTATGTTATGTCAGGAGATATTAGTAGTGGCTATGGAAGTGGTTACTGTGACAGGAGTAGGAAGCACTTGTGATGAGTGCGTGATCAGGACTGGGGGTTGAACGTGTATATAAGGAAGTAATACTTCCGCAGATGGATATACAACCATCTTACCACTGTCCATTCCAACGCATCTTCGCATTACAGCTACATCAATTATATCCGCATATTCATAATCATCTGCATCCATTCCAGGTATTCCTCTGTCTTCTCATGACCTCATTATCATAACAAGTAAACCCCAACGCCACACTAATACCACGTTGTCGTAATCTAACGCTTTTCATCCTCGGACTTCATGGTGAGCAGTAGTTGTATAACACGTGATGCCATGCGGGGGAGAAGGAAGAGGATGGCGAAAGCCGCTAGCCAGATCTAAGCGATCTGGCCCACTTGTAGATGGAGAAATCCTTTTTGTATATAGACAATACAACCCTAACTAGTATAACAACAATAGTAAGGAACTCATACATCCGCACCTCAGTTATCTCATACATCGTGACCCATAAACCTCACTCTCATATCTATCACTCCACGACAAAGCTTCAACACACGTGACTAATATCCGTAAATTTCCCCATAGCTACTCTACTAACGCCAATATTCACACAAGAACACTTTTCATACCGCTGTCATTTGACGCAGTTCCTTGTTGAGTTGTAACCCCAGCAGCGTTGACATTGCTCTATGGGGCGTTTACGGCAGAATGGTATAGCAGGGCCACTCTCGTCGAACAGCTTGAACCTTAGATTGGCTGGTACCTGTTTGAAGTGCACGATCCAGCTAGTGGAATAGCTGCCCAGTTTGGTTTAGTTTGGGCGCGCCTGTATTGGTGCGACTCCACAAACTACCTGGCACTCCGCCTTCACCATTTCTCTGGTTATTTCGATCCTTCCGTCTAATGTACGAATGCATATTGGGACAGGAGAGACCATGACCGATTTCCAATCTGAGGCGGGCTCAATTGTGATTTCCTTCTTTTGAAGTGAAGGTCCTACACCCAGAATTGATTCCCTAGGTGCATCTGATGCGCACTCCATTGCTGGGCCAGATCCAACTTGTGTCATCGCTGTAATTGCTGAAGGTGCGACTCCAGCTTTCTCAGTGATGAGCTTCTTGAATGTGATAGGTGATAGCCTCCTCCACTGATGTTCTCGCCCCATGCGAACGAAGAGTCGTTTATCCTCTTTCGAAGGCTCTTGTCAGGCTGGTTTTGGCTGCACGGCAGGCCTTCGCTATACCAGGTTGGCTGGCAGATCCGGGAGCTTGGCTGCTTTTAGGGCTATTGTCACCCACGGAGAAGCAGTTTCCCGTGGCTTTTGAGGGAGTTTGTGGTGGGGTTTCTCCGCTATTTTTGTCACCCTAGGTACAGAAGTTTTCATCTGAGTAATTTCATGGGATGGGTTCTTGCCTTGGGGATTTGCGGCATTAACGTTGCCAATCGCAAACGCTGTTACGATGGGTGAGAAATTTTCTATTAGTGGCGCGACTAAGTGCGCGCCTTCAATTTCTGATAAGGACTTTGCCCAGGCATCGATATTTTTCAGGAAATTTGCGCTAGGCTCATTCGCTGCTTTTGTTCGCGTTCTGATTGCTTTATTGCGGCGGCAATTCCAAGAAGGCTCGGGTGTAATAGGTTTCCTGGGTCAGTTGATGCTGAGGACGACGGCTAGCTGTGCGCAGCCATGATGCTGCTTGGTTTTGCGGGTATCGATGAGTGAATAAATTCAATTATTCGCGTGAAGGTGATGATCGATAATGGAGTTATGGTTGTGATTAATGTTTTTTTAATTCATTTTATTGTCCTGTCTGAGTCTATGACTATGTAGGACATGCAGGTCCTCTCTGCCTACAGGACAAGGATACCTATACCAGTAGTATATCCCCTCCTATGCCTCCCATACAGCTCCCCTCAAATAGTACCACCCCTCACAAGTCCTCATTCGATCATACACTTAGAGGAGCCCTCGGCCCTTCATTATCTCCCCTCTCCAGCCAACGAAACGATGGCCATTTGCGGGTATATGGCAGCCGGGAAAAGTCGCAAAAACCACTAGGTGCGGAGCTCTCCTAATACCGACATTAGGAATAAATCCGAAGACATATTGCCCCTTCTGAAGCGTTCGAAGAGGCCGGCCAGCTGGGCGCTGCAGACTTGTGGGTACCTCGGGGAATTCACACTTTACCTTTCTAGCCTCCTTCCAACTCCTTCCCGAAGGTCGTGCTGAAATGTCAGAAAAATCTTGACAGAGCGTGATTGCAATGTGGTAGCTTAGCCTAGCTTCTTTTGTGCCGTCCAGGGCGCTGGGGAGTGCCGTTGACTCATCGACAATAGAAGCCCTCATGGCTAATCAGGCGAAATCTCGGTCTTGGTGCCCACAAACGTTCCAATGTCGAAATCACGAGACCTGTTATTCCCACAAAAGGCCTCCTCCAAATATCTTTCCACGCCCCAGTCGCCTGTCCTTTCTCAAGGTGTATAGCCCCATTAGAGCAGCAGTCCCCCTTAAACCAAGAACCCAACTTTGTATATTATGACTTGATTTTCTCCTTGCGGGCATACGTAGCGTCGTAAATTTACAGTGAGTGATGGTTGTTAACAGATGAGGCAAGCTCCTGTTAATAATTGGAGGAACGCCTTTATCGGTCATTGAGGTGAGGTGGTGTGTGGAGAAGTTAAGATAGAGGACTCTCGTAAGAATGACAAGACCGACATTTATGAGAAGTCGCCGATTATAGATGTGTCTGTGTTTGCTTTCGACTTCGATTCGGATGCAATTTTTCTTGGCTATCCCAGATATGCAGAGCACACTGAGCGATTACACCGGTACCACTTGAAGGTGAAAATTTTGTCTTTGCCGGCGCTGAATGGGCTTGAATCAGTGAGTGGAAGAGACGCCTTGACGCACCTACTGCTAAAGACTTAAAGTCAACGGCAGTATTGACACGAATAAGCCCAACATCCAATTGTTAGGCGGTAAAGCTCTATTCACCCCACCACGAGGATAATCTTACCTGCATCAGTGCACATCCAACTAGCAGCAAGAACTTGGCATTTCACAAACTACATAGAAGCTTAGTTTTATGTTTGTTGTCCTAAAGAGTATGCTACTTCAAGGGTACTAAGGCCATTTGCCAAGCCCTCGTGTGCCTTGTTCCCGTGCTCGGGGTTCCGCTATCTAACATAACTATTGCCACTCGCATCTCAGCGGATAATCCTTGACAGGTGCAGGACTCTATCAGAATTATCGAATTGCAGTCATTCGACAGTCCTTAAAATGCGAAAAAGAGCCATCACGCCTTCACAACTACCGCGGTGTTGGGGTGGTCTGGAGAATATTCGACATGCCTACCCAAACTCTTTCTTTGGGATAACCAATAGTGCCCTTGTCTATAACGTTCGCAGCCAAGATCAGCGTCTCAGGCACGACCTGAATGGCTATTTCTTATCTGCGAGGTGCTTGGCAAAGTTGGCGTATATGTTATCCTGAGTTTTCTTTGTCCGTACAACATGGTCAATCATCGTCTGCCAACACATACACGAAGGAGGCCCAACTTGACTAAATTTGGCATTACTACGCCAGAAACCGCGACCTGGCAACCATTGCTGTGCCTTTCTGATGCCAAACTTTCCACCTTTCCGCCATACGGCCATCGCAGACAGCCTGACAGGGCCCGGAGTATGGTGCCTGCTCCCCTATATTACCTCAGTCTATCTGTGCTAGAATAACAGGCATCGCCATATTCCGTCGCTTCAAGAACCGGGCACCAAAAGGTTATTTAGCCTGTCACGCTTGAGAAAATGCAGGCACACAACATGTCAGCGGCTATTTGAGAACCACCACCGCGCCGACCCGTCGCAGTAGATCACTCAATGACGAGTCAGCAAAGGCATACAGCTCAATTAGCTCCACCAGCTAGCTAAGCTTCGCAGCTTGCCCTTGTCAATGGACACAAGTGCTCGCCTTGAGTTGTGGCTACCCAGAACCATATGCCTAATCAGAACAGAATTCAGACCAGTTAATATTCTGCACATCTAATCCCCTCCAGACTCTGCCTACTTATACATGGTCAACACCGTCGCTTTCAGTCAGTCTCCTTCATCCATTTATAGCATTTCCAGCTCGCTCTTCCTTTCCCTCCCTTACTCCTTCACATATGTGTCCCTCGGTAATGCCTTTTGCTAAGTCCAAGCTTCTCAAAACTTCCATCTACCCTTCTGAACTCTATACCCTTTCCGCCCGAGTCTCCAATCCTGAAGCCGCTGATTTTCCCGGATTCTTGGACAACCCTTTTGTCACACCTATTACTCCGCCAGCTGCTTACACCAACTTTCTCAAGAACGTATATCGCGAGAATGCATCGCAAATTGCATTATCGTCCTTGTCTTCGCTCCCGAGGGATCATAAAATCGGTGTGAGTCACCTCGATTCATTGGAAATATCGTCATATGTTCGTCAATCAAATTATTCTTCTTTGGAGCGGCCATCTACCTAAAAATTCTCAGCGTTGAAGCCTTTTCCTCCTAGGAGTTCTCGAATCACTGCATGGGGACATAATTCCCCATGTAGAGCACGAGCACCATATAAATGGGTAAACAGGTGTCATAGGAGTAGGACACAAGGAGCTCAGTCATTGAGTTGTCGTCAATATCACGACCGCCAATTTCTGAAGAGAGTGAGTTGCGCTACCTTCAGCCGTAACTGTGTATTGCTAATAACGCTGATTCAAGGATAAGATATCCGGGCAGTGAGATACCAGTAGTTTTGTGAACAAGAAATTTATTCTTCGACCCCAAAATCGGCACTTTCAACCATTATTTTGTGTTATTCTCGCCGATAAGGCTTACACAGGGACGCATATGAAGAGTAGTAAGGGAGATGGGATAGAGTAGCTGATCAATACCCATAATTTAAATACGTTTCCCCATCAAAATGTTGTGAAGCGCGTTTCCAGGACTTGAGAAAGCGAGACAAAATATATTATTCTAAGCTTTTAATAAAGAACGGTATTTACTAATTGATGGCAAACTTTACAGCTGTCAATGCTAACTTGAATCGAATTTGTATCATGGAAATTGTACGCGCAGGGACTTAAGGAAAATATAAACCCGTCGCATCTCCTGTAATCAAGTACGTAAATGAGATTAACTTGGAATAACCATTACATGAGCCAGTGCTTTTTAAAACCTTCGTAAAATTTAACCGAGTCTTTTTTTTTTTTATTGCCTCAGATTTCATTTGAAAGTACCACTGCGAAGTTATGGCGGCTTTTTCTTCACCCCAAGTCAGCCCTCATCCGTGAATACCCACTCGGGGGAACGTCCCAAAAACCCTGGGTTATCCAGACATGCCTCCATCTTTCAACTTTTCTCCGCGCGAAACATGGTCTGAGACGTCTCCCTCCCAAGTGGAGTAGGTGCCCAGGCTACTCAGACTATACCGGAGAACACCACAAGGAGGTGGACAAAAGCATAGTCCATCGTGGGCTTGTTTTTATAGTGTCAGCTGCACTCTCGCAAGCGAAGCCTTGGCGCGCACAAAGCCCAATTCGTAAAACTCCTAGCCCAAATTCAAAATCTCACGCCCTTGAAGGATATGTCCCTTCTTCGCATGATCTTGTCAACTTGTCCTGATTCCTCTTACGTCTATCCCAAAGAGTTGTCTCTCAAATTTATGCGCCACGCTTTGCTTCCTCCGTTGGGTATAAATATCGGCGTGGGCGTGTATTTGGTAGTCAACTGAGGCCAGAGAAGGTCGACGAGAGGCGTGATCATTGGAATGAGGATGTACTAGGTCGTACTTGTAGACTTGATGAGACTCAGGAAGGCATCAAGCTCGTTGGGAGCGAAAAAACGATGTGGTGGAGTGAATTGAATTTTTGCCTCGTGGGCCAACCCCTTTGATTTTGTGAAATTTGACTGAACTAGGCTCTGGGAGAATATTTCACTCCCAGGCTCGTAGAGGACACTACGTAAATGTGTTCAGTCTTGCCCTCCTCTTAACCGAGTCTAGTACGCTGTGTATTATTATTTATTTGTTCTATTGTCCTTTCAGTCTTCGAGTCAATTTCTACTCCTAAACGCATTGCTATTGCACAAACAGATTCTCTGCCTGCCCCTGCAACTACCTTATCCTATGCTAAAATGTTGGAGAAAGGATTGCCCTCCCCAAATCAACCATATAGAGTCACAAAAAAGCTGCACCTGCTGTGGTAAAGCTTAGGCTTGATTAGAGACTCATGGTCCGCCTAGCACCGGATAGCCCCCTTCGACACGAAGATGCTCTTCTCGTCCGCACGAAGCTGTGATGTCTCCTAGAACGTCCAGAGCTAATCAAGGACATCCTTTCGGTTCCATCTAGCATCGCTTTAGTAATTCCGTCCTCGGACGGGCCTCCTGAACTCCTTGAAGCGGCTGTAGCTCTACAGCCTGTGACAGGTATTTTTCAGAGTGAAAGGCAGGAAAACTAGCTGTTTGGAGTATATCTGTAGAACTGGCGTAATCACGTGTAATTCTAGTGTTAATATGTAATCATATAGATACATGTTATGATCATGAACGTGCGGAAGATATCCAAATGGACAAATTTGGGTGACTAGCGATATGAGATGTGAACAATATTGTGAGTTGGGAGCAATGAACTAATGTGTGCAGACTTGGGTTTTTCCTTTCTAGTCGGAGGAGTGTACTCTGTAATCTATGTACATGGTTCGGCAAGTTTACTAAGCTAACTCCTGACAAATCCCTTGGCACATCATAACAATATCCGACCTCCGGTCCCCCCTCAGCCAATTCCCTGCTGGACAAGCAAGAAAGAGGCTGCCAAGTTCATAAGAGAGTGGCTGCCTACACTCCAACCCGACTGTCTCTGCGTGTACAGTGATGGTTCTGGGGCGTCCACCGACAAAGTGTCATGGGCCTTTGTGACCTTTATAAGTGGCACAGGTACGACAATTGAGCAAAGCGGCTCAGGCAAAATTACCAATGCGGAGGTCTACGACGCAGAGGTCCATGGAGCTTTGGCTGCTCTAGAAGCAATTACTGCCAGCAATCGAGATCGAGGACGCAGCGCTATCTACATCCTTCTCGACAATTCTGCGGCTGTTCAGGCTTTACTGACGGGAACAACGGGCTCATCATCCTGGCGTATCCAAAAGTTCGTGAAATTGGCCGCGGGATCAGCCGCGCCTGTCAAAATAGGATGGATTCCGGGCCACGAAGGGCTGGCAGGAAATGAAATCGCCGATGAACTCGCCCGAAGAGAGCTTAACTCGCCGGACAACTCTAGGACGACACATGGTGTGATGACCCTCGCCTCAACAGGACGGAAAGCCCGTGAAGTGGCCAGGCAGATGTTGACGGACTGGTGGCACTTGAATCGCCCCAGGCACTATGCCAACCTTGAACTCGAGATGCGCCGCAAGAAACCGCCAGAACTAGCGCTACCTAGAGCGGTCTACGCCCGCTTAATCGCTGCTCGAACTGGACATGGGGACTTTGCGGCATATCATCGCCGCTTCAACCACACTGACGCCAAACTTTACTGCGAGTGCGGGAGGGAAAAATCAATTGGTCACCTTGTACAGTGTCGAAAAGCACTGGCAACATGGCGGCTGAAAAGCGGAAAGCGTAGAGCGCCGGCTCTGGAAACAATGCTTGGATCAAGGGGATGGCAGCTGTTCAGGGACTACGTCCAGGAGAGTGGAATATACGCGGAGGCTAGTCGGGGGATGGCAGGGATACCTGTGACTCGGAGGTGATAGATCAAAGGCCTAGGTGGTTTGGCATGGACAGAGAGATTGGAATCGAGGCTCAGGCGCGTGGTGGCTGAGGCGGAACGATGGAAGGGAGATTGTTTAAGTTTTTCTTTTGTAATGCGGGATTTCGCGGGAAAGTTTTTGTTTTGTTTTCAATTCTGGGCTGCCAAATTTGTCATGGTTCAACACATAGATGCATTTTGGCATGGTTCCGGTCATTTAGGTGGGACGAGGCATTTGTACTGCACGGTAGTTAACCTGATCCGGCCCGACCCCACTCGTGCTCAAGCTCCAGTAGGAGTGCGACGGTAGTTACTTCACCTAGCACGTTAATGAACAAACAAACAAACAAACATCATAACAATACAGCATCGGAGGGCGAATGCTGAACACCTGTCAGTGGTGCCCTCTACGAACCTGGAAGTGAAATATTCTCCCAAAGCCGAGATTCAGTCATGACAAAGGGTGAATTTGAGAGTTTTAGTCGAGTTGGGGATCGGGAGGAGTGGTGTTGGCTCATTTTTGGTCAAAAATCCGACTTGCAGAGATTTCACGACTACACAACTCAACGAAATCGACCATCTACACCCCAGATACGAACCGCAGACAGCCTATAACCTGTCTGATGTTCGTATTACAAAAACCGATACCTTCTACATCTTATTTTCTATTTCTCTGGAAAATCACTCCTAGCCAAACTCATCTTGCGGCCCTCTCAACAATCATCTCACCACCTACCTAAGCAATCCTATACCTGCAAAAGCCAAATCGCCAACTAAGAAGCAAGAGAATTTCCGACCTTCCGCAACTGCCAGCCGCTGTGAAGGTACGGTCGAAATACCGGCCTTAAATGCGTCTTCACCTCGGCCAAGGGCACCAACAACTTGACTTGCGACGAATTGCCACCGAAGAAATACGGACGACATTTCGCCGGCACACCAACTAGAGCATTTGACAAAGGCTGGGGCACCGGTGCCTCGGTCTTGAGCTCTCAGTCGCGTTTTCGATCTCCACGGTTAGGGGTACGGCAGCGATGGGGCAAGGCCGGAGGGGTGGACATTCTACAAAGATTCTGGGATGACGAGATCGGCTGAAGGACAGAGGGATGCTGTGTGAAGGAACCAAAAGGGAGCATAAACTGAGGAGGCCTTGGTGGGCGACTGGATGAGGCCTCCAGTGAAGAAAACGACCCCTGGATGAGATGAGGAGATGCTGAGATGAGCCAAGGCTGCGAATGAATCGAAGGGAAAAGTTACAGACAGCGAAGGTGTCAAGGGCTCGGGCGCGTGGTGGCCGAGGCTGAGGAGGATTTCGCGCTTCGGCGCGCCAAAAGGGGGTTCTCTGGACGGTTGGGCTTGACATGATTCAACACATGGGTGAAGTCTGGGGTGGTCCGGTCATTAAAGTTGGACGAGGTATATCTGTACTTCACGGTAGTTAACCTGATCCGGCCCAACCCCACACGTGCTTAAGCTCCAATAGGAGTGCAACGGTAGTCATGTGACCTAACACATTAATCAACAAAACAAAAAAAAAACACTACAGCATCGCCACAACATCAGAAAGGATCATCACACCAACACTCGACATTTTGTTTACAACTTTTTTAATAACATCCGCCTACTCTAGCTCGAGATCCTTGATCTTCCCAGGTCGATAAGATGCCCCACAGGAGGCGAAAAAACCCTGCGACACTTGTGTCACCCATTCGAGCTGCCTCGCGCGCCGCAAAACGTGCG